ACTCAGTCAGACCCCCTTTAGAGCAGTGCCATTTAGCTAACCAGCTCATAATCTGTGGGTGATCGCAGACAAATGTAGGATTGATGGATGTGTCTTCCAGGAACTCCCCAAAAAGCTTATCAAGGAGCCTGGCAGTGATCTGAGGTGGAGGGCATTCAACAGCTTTTGCTACACAGATATCATCAAGAATTTTTCAAGCTTCTTCAATTTTGAAGAGGTTGGTTTCAGGCAGCTTCAGCCCCAGGGCTTTCTCTAGCTCTTCTAGCATGTTGATTCTCCAGAAGGGTCTCATAGGGTTGGCCCTCTGGACCATCTGGGTGATAGGTGACCTTGTAACTGCCTATAATGTTCTTCACCATTCCTGAAACCAACTTCTCTGTGATTTCCATAAGATCATGATAGTCTACATAGGCCATGTAGAATGCACAGGTGGTGAACTCAGGATTGTGAGTCAAATCATGCACTCCACTGCCTCTTGACCTGAGTACCAGAGTGTCTACATGAATTTCAAACACATTTGTTTTCCTCTGCCCTAAACTCAGTTCCATCTTTTAAATAAACATGGGTAACAAACTGCAGAAAACAAAGCCTCAGATAAGGAGAGACTACCATATTTGTTTTTGTTTTTACTTTCTGCCACCACTACTATGTATGCTCTCTGGGGCCAGGAGATGTTCACTGATGCATCCCTAGTGACTAAAATGGTGGCTGGCATTGAGGAAATCTTGGTGAATGAATGACTTGTTATCTTGTTTGCTTCACACATTTTGATGTAAGATGATATTCTGAATTCCTGTGATCAAAACATAAACTGTCTGGTCAATATAGCGAAGCAACTGAAGAAACAGAGTGAGCCTGTCTAGAAAGACAGGTACAGGAGGCAGAGCCAAAGAAGGAACTGGAAAAATGAGGATGAATGGTTAGTCAGGCAGTCCAACACATCTTGCCAGACAGAATATCTGGGACTCTCATGAACTCTACAGACAACAGAACATGCCAAGCAAGATCACCAAGGTGACACAGAGTTACTGCCATAGGGATTCTGTGTACAGCCTGCTCGAGGAATCAAAGAGGCTTCTCCAACAGAAGCGGACTCTACAATTGGCTGCAGCCATTGTTGGGATTGAATTTTTACATGAAGAAAAAGCTGGCAGTGGTGCACAGTGAGGAAAATATCTGCTGATCTTCTATGAGCTGTGAGTATTCATGACTTCTATGGAAGGATTACTGGATTTTCTATCATTCCTAGAATAAAGTCTGCACTTTGGAATAAGAAAAAAGCAGAAAGGAATCAAATAGTCTCCATCTTCTTGACTACACAAAAGAGCACGGAGAAAGGTACAGCCAGAGTGCTCCCTTCAAACGGGACTGATGTAAATCTTCGTATGTATTAATGTGCCAATGGTTCAGGCTCTGAAACTACCCTCCCTAGCCTCAGCATAAATCCCCAAGCAGCAAATTCATATGCTCACAAGGTTATGCCTCTCTTAAAGAACAGCAACCAATAAAAATCGAAACTTTAAACCACTAATCTTAGAGATTTAAAATGAGCCATTAGGTCATTCACAATAGTTCTTCATTTCTATGAGGGCAATATCCTTTAATTTTCTCTGGTTATAAGTTCAATGTTTTTTTAATTAAACAACCTTCCACCTGGGAATAAGTGCCCTCTAGTTTTCTCCAAAAAACCTTATAGTAATTATGTGAATTTAAAAAAAAACGCCCATAACTGTTCTTCTCAATAGTTTTGGCCATTCTATTGGTAACTTTTATTTTTTGAAAAGTACACATATTTTTCCACTTTGGAGTAATTAAACATGTGACTTTGTTGACATTTCAGGTCCAGTATCAAGTATTTCTTTGGAGGGGGAAATTTTTTCTCATAACTCCCTGAGCAGCCACAACATCCCGGGTTAGTAGCACAGGGGGTCTACCTGTCACTTTGTTGTTTTTTTTAGTTGGTCCTACTCAGTGAACACTGAGGAGGGAGAGAGTTTATTTGTATTATTCTCAAGGACTGAATGTGGCTAAGACTGAACATTGGATTAATGTCTGCAAATGGAGGAAAAGCACAGAGCAATGACCTTAGAGTGAACACTCTTTGTGTCTGCCACAAATGTGATAAAATGGTCTTGCTAAGGAGCAGAGTATCACAGAGCAAGAGGCGGTTTCTCTCCACCAGAAGACTGAAGAGCTTAGTGGTTTATCTTCTTCTTCCCACTCCTCTTCCTACTCTTCTTCTTCTTCCTCTTTCTCCTCCTCCCCCTCTTCCTCCTCCTCTTCCTCTTCTTCTTCTTCTTTTCTCAATTCCTCTTAAGCAATGATTTTTTTTTCAGGCAATACAGCAATATTTAGAATTCAGTAACATCCACTGAAGTGTTACTTTGTGCCACACAACCAAGTGCATGTGACAGAAACCCTGCTCTCTCTGGTGTGGCTCTCGCAGCATGTTTCCCTGTACCTGGTTCCCAGGTCCCCGAAGCCTTAGGTCAGTGTGGGTCTGACCAGTTAGTGCATTGCTTTCTGGGAGTCTCCCTACATTCACTCCAACTCTGATCTAATAAGGACCCCCACCCCCCACCCCCCGCCCAGCCTTGTTTCTCTATGCATTCTTTCTTTCTCTCCCTGGAAATTACTGCGCATCCGATGTCAAGTAGTTTCCTGTCCGTGAATTCTGGAATTACCATTTCTAAAATGTATTTTAAAATTTAATTTTTTTTTACCTTTATCTGAATCAACTCTGTCTCCAAATCTTGCCCCAGGTCAGTCTTAACTGATTGTTTCTTTCTTGGGTTACCAAAAATGTAAAAATCTAAATGGAAGATTTTTTAAAAACACAGAACTCTTAAATCATGAATTAGAAATTGAGAATCTTTGCAAGCCATAAATCATTACAGGCTTCTCCAGAAAGACGTTGTGAATTTGCTCCATGATTGTTCTTGTTAAGCTTGTGCTTCCCAGAATTCTGGGCGAGGCTTTTCTGAGTACTCACGTAAGGATTTAGGCACTGAGGGGGAAAAATTCTTAATAAGCGAGAGAAACCTTGCTTTGCCATTGTGTCTGGGCGTGGGGAAAGGAGGCAGAACGGGGGATGAGTGAGCTCTGGAGGGCGGCTGAGAACTCTTTTAGGTCCTCTCCTGCATGTGTTTAGCGCGCCACCTAGTGACTGAAGCTCATCTAGTGACAGAAGGGAAGAAAGCCTGAGCTCCAAGGAAGACAGACTGCACTGTCTCAGGGTTGGAGTGGTTTCTCTTCTAGGTCAACTTCAGATTGCTAAATAGCTATGATTCAGCTTTAGCAGTGCACAGGTTACGAATGTTATGCACATTGTTAAGATGTTTGTGGAAATATGAGATATTCAGGAGAAAGGATGAAAGAGTTGGAGACTTGAGAAAGACAAAAGTACAGCTACACAATTACTCAGAAAATAGGACTCTAAAAGTACGTTGGTTGAACAAATAATGAGACTCTTCTATGAACATGTGAAACAAAAAAAAGAATTAAAGGAACAAAAACGCAAGAATGAGGGTAGAAAAATGAAAGGAAGCAGGGTAACATTTTGTTTTGTAGACAGTGCTGAACCTAGGCTCACACTTCAGAGCTACTATTTACCTTTTGCGTGACAATAGGCTATTTATTTAAACTCACCCAGCCTTAGTTTGTTCATCTATTTAGTGAGGATCATTCCACCATCTCCTTGGGATGCTTTAGGGGTTAAATATAAGAATATACAGAAGTGCAAAACCCAGAGCTTCAGATGAAAGTGCTCACTAAATGGTAGTTGTTGGTAGGGAGAAGAGAAAAGGAAAAGGAAAAAGGAAAGGAGGGAAAAATAAAGGAAGAGTCCCAGTGAGAGATAATGTAGAACACATTAAGAGATAACGGAAGTGGAAATTACATCTAGAATGTCCAGCTGAGCACAGGACATTGGTTCTATTTAATGGGTAAATCTTGTTCCTGTATTCCCAAGGTTCTGAGCAATTAGTGCAAGAGAGCTTTCCTTCTCACTACCCCCTTGGACTTCTCAACCTTCCTACAGGACTTCCTCCATTCCACACTCAGAGCTGAAGTGAAAGAAAGGCAAATGTAACTTGGGGAGATGGGGAGGAAGAAGGGAAGCAACTTAAGTGAGGTCTGTCTTATGAGAGAAGCCATTAGCCTGGCCAAGCTTGTAAGGAGGCTTTGGAGAACCCTGGCTGCCCCTGTCAGTGCCGGTCAATCCTGACTTGGGGAGGCTGGGAGAAAGGTCTGTATAATATGATGCATCTTCCCTCCCACACTACAAGCTGAATCCTAATGGCAGGCCCAGGAAAGAGAAGCCCAAATTGCCTCAGTCTCTCCTTTAGAGCCTGAAATGACTATTTCTAAGGATTGTCCAAAGCCACCAAAAGCTACTGGAATACACACACACACACACACACACACACACACACACACGGGCCCACGCCCTCTAAAGAAGCCTTTTGTCTACCATCAGTGGCAATCAGAATGCTCATTCACTGATATACTGTAATAGCAACCACAATCTCCAGGGAAGGCAGCCTGCATTTCTAACCTTTTACCAGCTTCCTCCATGCCAAGGAGAAACTAGGATCAAGAGCACAGTAATATGATCCCCAATTAACATAATATAAAAACAATCTAGTCATGTTTTCCATGGGCTTTTCCAACCTCAAATAAGCATAAAGCAGGGAGAAAAAGATAAAAAAATATATGTGTGGAACTATAAATAGACATATACTGTCTGGTATGCACAGCCAAGCACCTGACCCAAATGAGTGTCTGCCTTGAAAAAATAACCAAGCAGACAGAAGCAGAAATCTGAGAATTTCCTCCTCCCAAAGTGCACCGTGAGAAGAGACAGGCAGAGAAAATACCCTGATGCCTTGGCATGGAAGGGGTTAAGTCCTCAGTCATCCTATTCTAAAGTGATTTAAGATTATGCGTAGAGTTTCAAAACTTTCCCCCAGCTTGGAGTAGAGCCCTCCCTTCTCACCAAGCCTACCCTGGATGTGCTAAAATGGGAAAGAGGTGTGTTTTGCTGATTTGTTAAATTCTTAGTGAAATTTCCTTGATTTCTAGTGGCTGATGTTGTTTGAGTTTGGTTTGGAGCAAAACTGAGGTAGTCCTGACATTTCTGGGACTGCATCCAAACAAGAGGAAGAAGAAAAAGAAGGAGGAGGAAAAGAGAAGGAAAAGAAGGTGGGGAGAAATAAAGGGAGGAGAGAAGTGTAGGGAAAAGGGAAAATCCTTTTTCAACATCACATTCCTGTGTTTTCCCTGAGTCTGGAAAACATATTAATCCCAGTGCTTTTACTCCCGGAAACAAAGGGACTCAGCCAAACTGTGGGAGAAAGGGTGATAAGGAGCCTGGAACTCTGAAGAGGGAAAGAGTGAGATTCAGAAATCTCTAGGACTCCACTTTAAGGAAAGTTCTGTGTCACCACAAGGGACGGGCACACACAGACACAGGCGACCAAGGAGAAACTGCAGACAAATGGAGACACAAAGACTGACAAGGACAGCACCTTTCACCTCTTCCCACTCGTCCAGAAAGTAAAAAACACAGCCAGAAAGAAGAGGAGTCAGCCCTGCTCTCAGACCAGGACAGGCTGCGATCTGTGTTGCTACTTTGCAAACTGGAGCTGCAGCCCACCCCCTTTGTATTGCTCACCCTCAGCCAGGAGACAGAGGGTTGGGAAGAAAAGTATTTCATCTAGGAAACTGCTCTGGGGACCAAACTTCAGATTTCTCTTGGAATCCTCTGCATTCTGTCTCAATGAGCCACCATGTAAGTGTGTGATCCTTTCTGTCTTTGGTGTGTTTGTTTCCTTGTTGTTTATTTGAAGAAATGAAATGTGAATGTTCTTATAATTCATATGCTCAATTTGTATTTTCACGGGAGCATCCAGGAAGCTAGTGAAACAGTGTGAGCACCCTGCCTGGATTTCCTGCTTAGTGTTACCCTCTTTGCTAAGAACTGACAAATTACAGGGGCTTAAAAGAAACAGGATCTCATCCTATTTTCCATTTTCTGACCTCCCTCCTTTTTCTTCTCTAACCATCCCTTCCCCCTTCCCTTGGCTAAGATAGAGAAAAAGATAATGACCAGGTCTGTTTGCAGTTAAATGACTTTCTTTCTTTTTCCTCCTCTCCTCTTTCTCTTATGACCTCTCAGAACCCCAAAGCAAATTACACAATGACGTGGAGAATGGGACCTGGTTTCGCCATGCTGTTGGCAGTGTGGCTGGTGTGTGGATCAGAACCCCACCCCCCTGTCACCAATAGAGCCAGCCACAGAGGGCAGAAAGTCCGTTTGGTCTCCCCAGCAAGCAGCCGGCCAGCTCGGTTTCTGAGGCACACAGGGAGGGCTCATGGAATTGACAAAGCTACTCTGGAAGAACTAAACCCTCGGCCTCTCCAAAGAAGGAGGGGTGTGCCAGTGTTGAGACTAGGTCTCCCCACTGCGCTGCCAGCCCCCTTGGGCATCAACAGGGCTCCCGTGAGACCTGAGCTGAGATCCACAGCCGGAAGCTCCCTGCGTGACATGGTCCGAGATGAGGGGTCCTCTGCTCGGTCAAGAGTGTTGCGATTCCCCTCTGGGTCCAGCTCTCCCAACATCCTTGCCAGCTTTGCAGGGAAGAATAGGGTGTGGGTCATCTCGGCTCCTCATGCCTCAGAAGGCTACTACCGCCTCATGATGAGCCTCCTGAAGGATGATGTGTACTGTGAGCTGGCAGAAAGGCACATCCAGCAGATTGTGCTGTTCCACCAGGCAGGCGAGGAAGGGGGCAAGGTGCGAAGGATCACCAGTGAGGGGCAGATCCTGGAGCAGCCCCTAGACCCCAGCCTCATCCCAAAGCTGATGAGCTTCCTGAAGCTGGAGAAGGGCAAGTTTGGCATGGTGCTGCTGAAGAAGACCATGCAGGTTGAGGAGCGCTACCCTTACCCAGTCAGGCTGGAGGCCATGTACGAGGTGATCGATCAAGGCCCCATCCGCAGGATAGAGAAGATCAGGCAGAAGGGCTTTGTCCAAAAGTGTAAGGCTGCTGGTATAGAGGGCCAGGTGGTGGAGGAGGGGAACAATGGTGGCGGAGGAACAGGAAGGCCAAGCCTGGGCAGTGAGAAAATGAAAGAGAACTCAAGGAGAGCACAAGTGCCCCCAACCAGAGAGACTAGGGTAAAGGTGATGAGAAAACTGGCCACCACCACAGTGGCTCCTCCCTCACCTCCCCCAACCCCAAGGGCTACCACCCTTCCTCCTGCTCCAGCCACAACAACCACTCGGGGCACTGCCAGGGTGGCAACAGTAGCTGCAAGACCTACAACCACCACAGCCTTTCCAGCCACCCAGAGGCCCTGGACCCCCTGGATACCCCCCTCTCCAGCCTCCCACAGGCCCCCTGCAACAACAGCTGAGGTGACCACCGCCAGGGGGCCCTCAGTTTCAGAGAGTCTTTATCCTCCACACAGAAAGGACCAGCAGAAGGAGAGGTCACAGACCACCAGGAGGCCCAGCAAGTCCACCAGCTTTGACAGCTTCACAGCTGGCCCTCCTACCACCATCTCCGAGACCAGCACAAGGGCTGCTGGCCCAGGCCGTTTCCGGGACAACCGCACAGACAGGCGGGAACATGGTCATCAAGACCCAAATGTGGTGCCAGGTCCTCACAAGCCAGCAAAGGGGAAACTTCCCAAAAAGAAGACCCAGGACAAAATTCTAAGCAATGAGTATGAGGATAAATATGACCTTAGCCGGCCTACTGCCTCTCAGCTGGAGGAGGAGCTGCAGGTGGGGAACATTCCCTCCCAAAATGCAAAGGAATCTAAAAATCAGGAGAAGCTTGAGAAACCTGAGAAGGAGAAGAAAAAAAAGACAAAAAATGAGAAACCAGGCAAGTTACTCAAGAGTGAAAAGCAATTAAAGAAGGCTGAGAAAAAAAGCAAGCAGGAGAAAGAGAAGAGTAAGAAGAAAAAAGCAGGTAAAACGGAGCAGGATGGATATCAGAAACCCATCGGGAAACAGCTCCCTCAGAGTCCCAAGAAGTCTGTGACTGACCTACTGGGGTCCTTTGAAGGCAAACGAAGGCTCCTCGTAAGTATTCTTTTTTGACATTGTTCTATGGGCAGAGGCAGGCCATAGTTGTGTTTGTCTTGTGAGTTTTGTAGATGCCAGACCGTGGCTGAGCCAGAAGCTTAGAAAGTTTGGCAAGAAAGGATAGCTCAGGAGCTCCCTTTGGTTTCAGTGCTCTGGAAACCTCTATCTAACTCATGGCTGTACAGTACCAAGTCTATGGCTGAGGGTCCCTAGTGTGAAACCAAAGAAACATCTGTAGTCAGCTTCTTCCAGGTCTGACAGGACCCGTTTGCATCCTTACTTCTCTCTTCCAAAGTTTGTGTTGAGACCTAGTTTCCTTTTACCAAGTTCAAATAATAAAAGAAGAATGGAGTGCACAATTTAAGATAAACACCTGTCTCTGCTAGAACTTAGAAACTAGAAGCATGAGTATGGGGAACATGGCAGAGTTTCTTTTCTCTTCTAATTAGATGTTTATCAATATCGGGAGCCTCAAAAGGGAAAGTAAGGCAGGTTGAGTGAGAGTGGGTTTGACTGAAAGTAAAGAAGATCCTTGTGGGTGTGACTTTTGTGAACACTTTTAAAAGCAGTTGGCAGAAATCTTCTCCACATAAAGACTGCCTCCTCCATCACTGCCTGCCTGCCAGTAAGAGCCTGTGGGATAGGATGCAGGGAACTGGGTCAATGCTTCAACATCTAGTAGTCTAGAAATATATCTGGACTTAGAGTTCAGATGTTAGTTTCTCTTGAGGCTCTATAAATTGAATGTGCGTGTGCGCACACATATGTGTGGGAAGGACACAAGTATTCCCTACTTTACCTGTTGTCCTGAGTGCCACTAATGTTGAGCAAGTCACAGATTCATCTTAGAATCCTCTTTTTTGACCATGGCTGTCACTGTCTTTAGAATGATGGCACAATCTAGTTAAATGTAAGGCGGGCTTTGGGCAGGAATAAGCCCATCTTAAATTTCAGAACAATTCTTAGCAGTGACACAAAAATGACTTCTTTTCTTCTTCCTGTCTCCTGTCTCACTCTTTTAGGGGTCCTCCCCTGGCTTCTTAAAGCCATCATTTTACTTAAGGGTGTCAAGGAGGAAAGGGATATATTACAATTAACTCAGAGTAAAAAGTTAATAAATTAATGCTGAGTGATATAAGTCAGGAATGATTTTTGTCACACATCGAGATGAGGGAGGCGTCTCATACCACTGAGACAGCACCCATCCTCCTGAATACACAAGCTAGCCCTATGCCCTGCATTCACTCTGCAAAAGGGAGAGGAGCTCTTCTCTAAAGTCATTCATTTCTGAGAGGGCCTTTTAGTTTTTCCAATCTGGCCTAAATTTGGATTAACAATCTGGGCAGAGGGACTCTGGTAACCATTTATCTTTGGTGGTTTCAGAAATGTACATTTGAAATGTCAGTTGGAACAAAGGTCTTCATAGTGTTTATCCCGGGAGGAGCGTGTCCCAAATTCCCTTACCTGTTTCCATCAATAGTGAAACTATAGATTAGAACAATCTCTGGTTAAGTGTGTGTGTGTATGTGTGTGTGTGTGTGTGTGTGTGTGTGCATTATGTGCTTTTTGTATGTTTTTGGAATTTTTAATCAAAACCTTAAAGTACTTATACAGACTTAGGTTATTAGATAACAGGCTAAGTAGTTTAACAGTTGTTTGGATATTCCCAGGCTCCATAAGCTTAAATGCGAACATTACAGTTAGAATCACAAGAATCACTTATGAATCAGAGTAGAACTCTATCTGGTAATTGAGTGTTTGTTAGGGGACCTGTGGAGACAAATAGCTCTCTTTGGGCCATGGGAAAGCATTAATGGTGTGTTCCATTGCTTTCCCCCTGGGTACCTGGAACTTTGTCCAGCCCACTGAAGCACATCACCCAACTCTATCCATTTAGCTGATAAGGCGGGCAAAGTGTCCCCATGGTCAGTTTTTAAGCAGGGGAAAAATAATCATGGATAATATGTCAGGATTGTAATTATGCACCCATCTAGCAAATACTTCCATTACCTCTAGTTTATGAGTTAAAAGAAAGGAGTTTTTATACTGAAGCTTTGATCTTAGTCATGCTTTTGATTGTTCTCTCTTTCTCTCCTCTCCCTTAATTAGGGATCTGAAAGCCCAGCTGGGTCTTTTCTGCTTTTAACACTCTCCCTGGTCATAAATTCTGAGCAAATGAAACTCAAAGGACAGCTTCTGCTTATGTCATGTGAGGCAAAACAGAAAGCAGCTGGAATTGCTCCTGGCAGTTTTGACTTTGAAACTAGCAAGAGAATCAGGTTTGTTATTAGAAAGAAAATACTAACAGGAGGCATTTTAGTCTTTCGATCCTCCATGTGCCCAGTTGGTGATCATATCAGAAATGTGTTTTCTGAAGAGCTAATGATATATGAAGTAAGAGTAGATTAGAAAAGACCAGATAAAATAACATGATACAAAAACAAAAGATGGAAAGAAAAGAGTTTCACCAGACAGGGAGGCAGCAACCAGTATTACAGGGTGAAAGACATTATTGCTGTCATTAATCCTTTTTCCACTGATTTTTTTCCATCAAACTCTGCTGATGCTATCCATGAAACTCAGTGATTCAACTAATATGTATTAAGGCTTAGCACTGTCAAGTTACTCAGGTATGGCTGAGAACATATATGTCCAACTGGCTTCAACTAATCTAGCATGCTCAAAGTGAGAGCAGGTTCACATTTCAAGAAATAGTGCAGGCCTCTCAGCTCATCTCCCCAGTTTTTCAGTAGCCTCATGCCTCAACTGTAATTTATTGTAAACCCCTGTGGCTTTACATTTATTTACATTATTCTTCAGATGTGAAAACATCACAAAACTGCTACATTAGCTGATTACTTATGTAAACAAGCCTTGGCAATAGTGGCATAGGTTGAGGTTGCGCAAATGGCATCCCGGAAGACTTCAAAAGCATTTTAGGTGGAGCCAGCAGTCCTATTTCTAGGCCAGAGTTCAATTCGTCAGCCCCACTCCCTCTCAGCTTGTCTACAGAGTAGGCCATACCTCGCAAGAGGTTTTGCTGAGAACTTGTGGTTAAATTCTCACAACAATCCCATTAGAAATGATTTCTTAAGCCTACTTTGTAGACGAGAAAACAAAAGTTTAGAGAAGTTGGGAAGGTATGTAGGGTATATAGCTAACATGGGACAAAGCCAGAATTAGAATTCAAAGCTCAAGTTCAAGTTGAAGCCAGGCTCCTATTTTCTTCCTGGGGATGTGAGCTTCCCATGGCATAGGCCATAAATTGAGGGGAAAACTAAATAATTGTCCTATTAGCTAATAAATATGTACATTTTAAATTCATTTTGAACTGTCAGTTACCCAAATAAGTGGTACAATATAAAAATCAACATTTTGTGCTAAGCACAAATGTAAAGTTTCTACTTTTAATACCTAGCTAATTAATTGTCTGCACCTGATCTCTCTGGTTTTCCAGCAGTCAAGAATAATAGATTGAATCCCAGTTGACGTAATCTTTCAGATTGCTTGTTGTCAGTTTAGGATTAGTGACACCAAGAATGCAGGCAAGCTATCACTAAAATATTGGGCTACATGATATATAGTTGACAAGCCATCATTTGGTACTCTGAGATCTGCCTACTTGTCAGGTAACAAGGGACCTCAGTATGCTAAATCATGTAAGTTCAAGTGCAAGTTTAAGTTTTCTTTGGCAAGTGAATCTCCCGTGGGTTAATATTTTCAGTCTTCAGAGACCTGAATATTGGAGACAGCAACCTACTTATTTGGTTTAAATTTAGAAAAGGATTTAAAAGCTCTGCTTTACAAGGCAGATTACTAGCTTGAAAGTTATTTTTCAGAATCCTATAAAAATCTAGTTTTTTGAGCCTAACATGCTATTTAAAGTAATCCAAGCCTTGAAATATCTTCTCCTTAGTATCTTCCCACTCCTATTTGCTCCTTTTACTTATACAAACAGGTTTTCTCCTCTTCCTGGGACTCATTGAGCCAACACACAAGTTGAAACCACAACACGATTTTAAATTCATGATGCGTGTCTTGATTTATTGCCACAAAACTGGAAAGAGTACAAGTGACAGACAATAATGTTTACTGAGGCATTCTAGGATGCTCTTTTTTAGAAAGAAGAGAGTAGAAATGGTCTCCATTGTAAGTGTTGCTTAAAATGCTGCCAAACTGGAAAATGGATGTGATGGAAATGTCAATACATAGGGAAAGAGTCTCTGAAAAGTGTCAGATGATCAGCCTGCTCTCTTTCCCATGCACCAAATGGAGGAGCAGATTGAAACATAAGGGAAAAAATCTTTCCAACTGATTTGTGGGCTGCATCTATTCATCTATAACTAGGGACCCCTGTGTTTCTAACTCTCTCCCCTCTTTTCTGGTGGGAATGATCTCTGTAGCCCAAGGAATGTGAGCCAGCACTGAGGCAGTCCCACCATCTGCAGGACAGTTGCAGGGTCTGAGCCTTCAGTGCCTTGAGTAACTTGACATCAACATAAAAGATAATTCTGCATAAAGGAAATACATATGTTCCAAGTGAGCTGTGAAGACAACCAGTACAGTTACTAAGAGGAGGAAGTGGCTGAAGTAAGGTAGTGGAAGAGGGCCTCTGAAGTGGGAGGGATGACATGAATGCACATAGAAGAAAAAGGAATATACAGGAACTTTCTAGAGCAACAGATAAGCCAGGCATGGTGGCTCCTACCCATAATCCCAGCATTCCGGAGGCTGAGGCAGGATCACCATGAGTTCAAGGCCAGCCTGGGCTATATAGTGAGTTCAAGTCCAGCCTGAACTACATAGCAAGACTTTGTCTCAAAAACAAAAACAAAAATAGAGCAACAGATATGTATGCGCCCAGGTGTACACAGCCTATCTCTCAACCTTCACAACTTTATGAGATTAGCACCGAAGTTGTTTCTTTGTAAAGATGACAAAGCTGAGGTTCATAAGATTAAGTGAACTTGTTAAGGGTACAGCTTATGAGAGGGTTGAACTAGGACAAAAGTACTAGTCCTCTAGCTTTGGCTGTAGTCACCCTTTTTCTGTGCCATTGTGCCCAAGGTTCCTTTCATTTTATAATTTAGACTGATCTGGCTTTTGGTGGTGAAGAGGTCATTTAAGGGAGGAATAGGAGGAACCTTAAAGGCAAGAGAGAGAGGCTGGAGCCAGATCCTGGAGGGTCAGAAGCCAGGAAATGAGTCATGTGAAATGAATGGCTCCTCACTGGTGGGTTAAGGCATCCTTGGTCAAAGGCTCAAGGAGAATATAACACTCAGAGATTTTTATTTATTTGAGATTGCCACTGGATATTCGCAGCCTAACATTACTGTGAGCAGAGCTGTGTGGGAGAAAGAGCTTCTCTATGATTATATATTGTCTGAAATTTCTAATTGTGTACACCCACACAGAGGAGACTAGAAGAGGCTTTGAGAACTCTTAAAATCCATCCATGCAATAGTCTGTGGATTATAAGGGTCCATAGCAAAGTATGAGAGGAATGAAATGAAGTCTCTGTATGGATTTGAAGTTACAGAGGCAGGTAATTATCAGTCACCTAGGCCAGCTGTGTGTAGACACCACTCTAATTATATTCTGGGTACAGGCTTATCCCAAATTAAGGTTAAGGAATCCAAAATCATTAACAGTAAATCTCTTTCTGTTACCTTTCCTTTCACAATTTTATGTTTTCACTTAAACATTCATTTTGTGTGTTTCAAAAATGTTTCTGAGCAAAAAATCAGAAAAAAACTAACATATGTCAAATTAAAATAAAACTCCAAGATTCAAGCTATTATCCCAAATCCTGCATACCTAATTAAAACAAACTAACAAACTAAATATATCACCATCATATCTTTTTAGTGATGCCTTTATAAAGTGTGAGTCAATGAATAAATTTGGAGAATTTTATTACTTTTTTCCTTGGGAAATTACACTTCTCAAACATTTCCTAGCCACCCAGTCCAACTGAACAAACATATAAGCATAAATAGAAAATGAACTGGAGTATGTCTGTTTAAAATATGAGTAAATAATGATCTGGGAAAGAAAAAAATTTAAAAGCTTTATTTCTGACAAGCTTTTTAAATGTTTCACTCAAAAAGGCTTCTGAACACCTTTTAATTTTCATGAGAGAGAGTGTTTTGTCATGCACAGTGAATTTGTAGCAGGGAAAGGCTGCAAATGTCAATAAACACATCTGACAGAGGAAAAGCAACAACAAGGTCAAGGTAGAACCAAATTTCTCCACCATTTTTGATAAACTATTTAGAACAGGTTAACACCATGTTGATTTCCCCTGTGAAAAATGCCTTGTAAATAGCCACAAACTTCAGAAACAGTTTGTAATCCTGGGTGGGTAAATAGAAAAGTGGATGACAGATGTTTGAATATGGTCAAATGCAAGAAATCATTTACAAAAATATTTTTATAGAGGCTGTCTCCTAGCTCAGTGTTGTGTCAACTGTGAATAAACGGGGTTCATTGCAGACACCAGCCTGGTGAGTTATTTGGGGTCAAGGAGATCAACAAGGACCTGATTACCATCAGAATAAAATTTTACATCCTTGCACTTCCAGAATGAACAGGTTGATGCCAGCCTGTTTGTGGAGTGTGGCAAACAGTTCCAATGTCTGATTAGCCAATTTGAATAATAAAGATCAAAATGAGAGAAGGCAGAAACGTACTAAACTATGGTCACATGTCAGATCATCATGATACTCCAAATAGCCTTGCAAAATAAGCATTCCTCTACAGAGTTCACAAATAAGAAAACTAAGACCCGAGGGGTAATGAAGGTCAATTATCGAAGTGAGTAGAAACATCTAAGATGTCTGGATTCATTTAAAACAAAAGAGGCCTGTACAAATGGCCCTTCTTGGCCTTAATTATGCTAATTGTCTAAGAATCTGTAGTTTAGGTTTCAGTCACTACCTGCCCTCCCTTCCAAATAATGTCTTTGGATTTTGCCCAGTGAATCTAATACTGTGAAGTAATATTTACTTGTTCTCGCTCACCTCCAGCTGATCACTACTCCCAAGGTTGAGAACAGCATGTATGTGCAGCAGCGTGATGAGTATCTGGAGAGTTTCTGCAAGATGGCCACCCGAAAAATGTCCGTGATCACTATCTTCGGCCCTGTCAGTAACAGCTCCATGAAAATCGACCACTTCCAGCTAGGTTCTCTTAAGAATTTTAATTGTATTTTGTTTTTCTCATATATAAGGTGGGACAAATGTTATAGGAGGGGCTTTTGAGGGACCAAAAGGAAAATTCTGATATCTGGAGGTCTCTTTGTTCGTGACAATACAGGTCAGCTGGCCTACTTACTTACATCACCATTCTAGGCAGGTTCTGGCTTATGTTCTCAGCACTTTAAAGTGAAAAATATGCAAGCACTTTATTCTTGTCTGAAAGTCAGTGAGGTAGAGGAAAATGAGAAAGGTAACTCAGTGTGGGGAGAATCCAGCCCCTTTCTTCCATCCTGCTGCCTGATCTGCCTGCAGCCTTCAAGCTGCAGGTGACTCATCACGATGGGAACCTGCCAGACCCCTGGAAGTGCTTGACTTTGGCAAGCCTGAGAAAGGAAGTAACCAGAGTTGAGCGAGGCTGTTAAGCTAAATGAAAAGTCACCAAAACTATGGACTGAACTGCTGCCGAGTCTTTTTGGAAAGCAGAAGAATTTGGCTGAGTTTAGAATTTTCACAATTTTTATATTAATGGTGCATGTGAGATTCATGAGGCACACAGCTCAGCATGGGAGGCTCAGATCTAACTCATTGCTGTTCTCACGGCAATGTGGAAGACTTCTGTGATTAGTTAAGCCTCACAGTTAGAAGGCCAAAATCTGACCAGTCCCATTTCTTTTATCATTATTATATCTCTGAAAATTTATTGTTTTGAAACTTTTTTTGAAGTCATTCTCAACTGCTTTCTTTAGCTATAATGAAAATCCTTCAGAGTAATCCTTCATATTTCATCACTTATATATCTTGCATTTTATTCATAAAATGTTTTATGTGAAAACATCTGCAATAATATAAACATATTTTTCCTGAACCGGATATGGTGGGGCATGCTTGTAATCCCAGAACTCAGGAGGGTAAGGCAGGAAGATCACTGCAAGTTCAAGACCAGCCTGAACTACATAGTGAGGGCCTGTCTCATAAAACAAAACAAAGCTCTCTCTCTCTCTCTCTCTCTCTCTCTCCCCCTCCTTATCTCTTCCCCTCTCTCCTTCTCTCTCTCTCCATATATATATTATATATATATATACACATCCTATTAATATTTAAATTCAATACATATGATATTATCTCAGATTTTTTTCTGATATACAATCTTGGGAAAAATAAACATAACACCCATAATTATATCATGGTAATGTCAACTTGATTTGAATGTATTTAGCTTTCTTTATTATACTATTTCTTTATTTTTTTATTGTAGTAAAAACACTTAACATGAGATCATCTTCCTATTTTTTAATTTCAAAACATAGTGTTGTTAACCATGGGCACGGTGTTATACAGCAGATCTCTAGAATTTATGCAGATATTAGTTTTCAGTTATATATTCTCTATTTTTTAACTTACTTTCCCATGAAATGACTATGAAGGAAAACTAAATAGCTTGTTTTCCCATGCCCCATCATAAATCATTGTGGATTAGTGACTGACTTGTGCATGTTTGAGAAGAAAAAGAAATAAATATTTTCTTTAATCAAAACCACAACAAAAATCATAGAAACAAAAGATACAAAAGAAGTAGGCAAACAGATTCAAACCCAGATTCAAAACCATATTTGTTGTGTGACCTTGGCAAGTTACCTCTTAAGTCTTATCTTAGAAGAGAAAAACATCTATTTCACAGGCTATGGCTATGGTGAGGATAAGTAAGAAATGTCTACAAAAACCCATCTAATTGTAGGCACTGTTATTGTGGAGTGATTATCACCACCATTAGATCTGGCAGGCATCTGGAGGATTAGTGAGCAGTTAAAATTGTGACCAATGCACTTGCAATTGCAAAATAATTATGGCTGTTTATGCTAATTTCAAAATGATGACACATGAAGCCTCACAAATGCTCTTCCAGGTCAGACTGCATCACTGCTTTTCATAATAAAAAGTGAAGCCCAAGAGACTAATACTGTAAAGCCACGTATTTAGTGGTTAACAGGGATTCAACCATTTGTTTCCTGGTGTTCCAAATAGCAGCATAAGCCAGTGGGCTTAATTTTATTCCAGCTGTCTAGAGAGGAAGTTGGTATTCAAACCTGAAGAGAGATTGGTGCTGGCTGGTGATGAAAGTCTCCCTCGGCCAGGTGTTCCCAGTGTCAAATGTGCTACCCACCAACTCTTCCACAAAGTGTTTCCATTCCTTACTTCACAGAAGTTTGGAAACGTCATTATACCTTCCACCTCAACCTCTATATGGTTCTATTGTAAGCAACTCTTGCTGCTTTGGCAAATTTTTAGCATAGCACTGCTGTTTTCTAGACATCTGGATTGAATATGAATTGTAGGGTGGTTGAGTTTTTCTTTTCTGCATTACTGGAACTCAGGTATTGTGATTTGGGTGTTTGCCTCATTGAATGGTAGCCGGGAACTGATGCAGAGTGGGCTTGGACTTTACTGTGTTCCTTGTCTAATTCCTGGAAGGCCTTTCTCTCCTCATGTTGTGTCCCAGATTACCCTTCTGGGAAGGGCTGTAGCACTCACAGCCAGGACTGGGAGTCAGCCATGGGAAAATAATAATTGGCATGAACTGTGTTCTCAGTGAACCAAACCCAAACCTTGTCTGATTTTCAGCTGGAAATCTATCTGATGGCCTTACTTTTCCTCAAAAATAAATCAAGCACTCCCTACTTTTCCAGTTTTTTTTAATGGATCTTAAGAATAGATGCCTATATCCAACAGCAATGTGAGCAATACTCATCAGGTGGTCCATCTCACTATAAGTATTTGGGTCATCAATGATGAACCTACAAATACCAGGAAACATACCTTGACATTTCAGGAATCAGTCTAGATAAAGTTATTCATGCTTAAGCAAATTCCAGCACACATCTTGTTTTCTCAGAATGGAGCATATTACATGCAGGAGTTTAAAATGGCATAATATATATTCACTATTGTTAATAAAATTTAAAATATCAGCCTAGGATAAGATTATTGGCATGTGTGTTGAGTGGATAGATCATAAAGTTGCCAGATAGGAATAAGATGCTGGCTAACAGCACTTTGTTGAAGAATTAAAGTGAAGAAGACATAAGCAAGCTTTTTTTCTCATAAAATATAGAAATGAGAAATAGTTTGACACTGGTATTTGATCAAATTTTAAGGGCTGTAACACACAAGTTATTTTATAGGGTAAAAGAAATTCTTTGATAATTTCTTTGACGGAAGCAAAGTTTGAGAGTAATTGAAAACAAAAGAGGGAGAAAAGTTGACGGAGATGGAGTTGATGGAAGTAGAACAGAATAATAAGAAGGGACAAAGTATTGATTTCTTATATGTAAGGAATTCATAGGTGAATTAAAAATAAATGTAAATATAAATGGTAGCGTCCATTCCAGACTAAAACATTATGTCTTTGATGCTTTTGAAGAAAATTATTCTATGTAGAGAAGCTTTACAATCAGCAGGATCCATGCAATCCAAAAATGTTGCTTTCCCTCTGAGGCAGTACTGAAAATTTGACCCTTTTCCCCCAGCTCTTTTCTTCAGTTGTGACAGTGCCTGGAAGTTGCCTTCTCCAGCTCCTGCCTCTTTGAGCTGGCAGGAGAGGTTGTGTGAGTGCTCAGATCTCTGGGAAGTGGCGCAGTGTCCACCCTTGTGTTTATTCAGCCTTTGACTATCAGTCATTCTGTGCCCTAGAGGTCAGAGAGCCTGTCTCCTACTTTTTCAGTCGCCCTGTCCCACCGCCCTTGCTGCCTGTGACAGCAAGCATATCAGTGTCAAGATCAACTTTGACAGTCAAAGAGCAAAATGTGCCAAAGTCAAATGTACAAATCAAGTATTTGAAGAATGTGATAAAGGGATAAGTTCTTCTGATTGTTGTCATCAAAGAAGATACTGTAAAAAATTTTGAACAGTGGGTTAATAGAGAAGCCTTGAAAACTGAGTAGCTTTTTTGAGGGCAGGTGACAACATACCACCCTATTTTTTTTTTTAATTTAACATTCTAAAGAGATGATACCTGTTCTGGATTCTAAAGTCAAAGATGTATGCAGGTATTTTATCCTGTGAGACAGTAACTCTCTGTCTTTAGGGTGCATAATAATCATCTAGGAAACTCATGAAATGCAGATTCCTAGGCCTTCTACCAGTGCTTCCCATTCAATTGGTCAGGATGCAAGGACTGTAATTTTAACCAGTATTCCAGATGATTATGATGAAGGTAGACTGTGAATTGTATTTTGATAAGGAGTTTCTGAAACAATGGGAAAGGCTGGAGTGTTCTAGGCATTGACAGAATGGCTTGAACCTAGAAGATAGGTTATAAGGAAAGGAGAAAAACAACATAGGGTTACAGAGACGTAGCAGCTGTGGATGGAGTCACTGAACTAAATGCCTGGCACACAGTTGACTAATATCTTATAACTGGAGCTAAATTTTTCTTCAGTGTCATTGCTGTCTGAGATCAGGTATGGAAAAACAAATACATGGAGAAATTTACTACCACTTGAATTTGGGCACTGATATTTGAGTTTGGGTTCTTAAAGGTCGAGGATCTAGTCAACATCTTATTTCAGGGGTAGTCCTTGCCAGTACAGGACAGAGTTTACTCTCTTATCCTTATCTTCTATTTCCTCAGTAAACTTAGATGCAAATATAATAAAATGTTTGGATCTGTGAATCATTTTAGCTGGGTTAGGACCATGTGCACAATTTATAGGATGTTTCCTAAAGAATTTTTGCTTCTAATTCCTGTAACAGTTGCTAAGGACTAGAATTGGATAAATTTAAGAAGCTACCTACTCCATGTTGCCTTCCCAGACTGGAGAGAACCACTTGTTTATGCAGCACTGAGTTATACAGAATGCAGAGCATACCAGAAACCTGTGACCAAAGAAGGCAGCTGAAGACAGGAGCTGGCCTCACATGTACCATCCACAGAATTTGGCCTGTAGTGGATTCTCTCCTTTTGTGGAGTTGTCCCATCCTAGTTGGGTCCAGTATAAGACAGAGCTTTCATTGTTGTTGTTGTTGTTAGATTTTCCCATTCAGTGCAAACATAGATATTTAAGTAGTGCGGGAATGCAGATTATTTTTTTTTCTAATGTTTGATTGAAATATTTCAGAAAACATTTTTGTTGAAAAAAGAAGCTAGACTGTGAAATCAGCTTCTTGACATAAACTAGCAAAACAAAGTTGGTGTGAAACTTGGTTCTGGACCTTCTCTATCCTCTAGTTTGAGGCATTTTTATACAGGAGAAAGAATACTGGGCAGGAATGAATTATGCTGAGTGCTAACTTTCACTATATTATTAATTACCAATATGCCTTGAGCAAGTCACTGCTCTTCTCAGAGTCTGTGATGAAAGGCTCTCTCAGAAACAGATCCTGTATCTCTGAGTTTTGCATGTAGGAGGTTAGTGGGGTATAGTCTTACTATCCATGAGAGGAAAGGGATTCAAGATTAGATAGAGGTTGACTTTGAAGTTCAACATACTTGGTCCTTTAGGGCTGTCCACTTTGAGGCAAGGGAGACAAGTTTTATATCTCCCCCTTTCCTCCACTGCACTAACCATCAAATAGAATTGTGTCCTGGTAGGGCTGTGACTTGGGGAAAGGCAGTTTTCTTTTCTTTTTTTTTAAGAGTAGGAGATATTATTGAGAGAAAGATAGTTTCTGTCTAAGAGAGACAGAAGGGGGACCAGAAAGTGGGTTGCCTCCCACCCCACTTCTCAAGGTTTTTTATTGAGCAAAGACACAAGGTGAGGTGGTACCAGTTTTGTTTTAAGAAGAGCAAACTTCAGAAAGGGATCCAGATACTAATATTCACAGAAAACTCATTTCTGAAGGTAGGAGGGTCTGAATAGTATAGTACAGTAACCTAGTTGGACAGAATAAGTAAATATGGATGCTCTTCAATTTATGATGGGATAACATTCTGGTGAACCCATTGCAAATTTGAAATATTCTGATTAAAGATGGACTTAATAAACCTACCTCACCCATAAACTAAGCTACAGTGCATCAATTGTTTATCCTTGGGATTACATGACTGATTGAGAGCTGTGGATTACTGCTGCTGCCTCACATCATGAATGAGTATTGGGGAAAGACCAAAAATTCAGAATTTAAAGTGTAGTTTCTACTGAGTGTGTATCACATTCTCACTATCATGAAGTTGAAAAATTGTTGAGTCTAACCATTATAAGTTGGGGATGGTCTTTGATAAAGCTATCTTGTCCTTGGAAATGTTAATGTTCTTTCCAAATGTACAAGTTGCTATATAACGCTGGTACTTTGATTTTCATTTCCTATTACTCAGTGACACCTTCAGGAATCATACTGAATTATACAGGTATCTTTCTGGGGTTTGATGATTGAGAAAACACATAATGGTTTAAAAATTCCGTAAATTCAGTCGCATTTTGTTTAAAATCATAAGAATTTTTAAAAATTGTATTATGAATAGCATGACTCTTTCTGTAGCCAAAAGGAACCTGTAACTATATTTGAACATAGACATTGTTTTCTCTATAGCCATGATGTGTTCACTGAATTCCAGGATTAATTATACACTAAAAGAGAGGCACAGATACAGATTTCAGACTCATTTATGTTTAGAGGAAGTAAAACTTAATAGCAGTATCTGGGTCTAGGGAGTCATGGTGAAGACCCATTCCTTAACAGCACTGGCTGCCTTCTTCTTAGTTCAGCAGCCTTCCCTTTCACTTTTTCCTATCTCATTCACTGTGACAAGGTGGGCAGAGACGGAGCCTTTCATCATCACCGGAAGAGTGACATTCAAAAGTAGTTTATTCGTTTGCTTCAATATTTTAATTCCCTCTGGAACTTTTATTTATACACAGTGTGAGTTGAACATATAACACTAATCCAGGCTGGTCTGATTAAGGGCAAATAGAGGCCCAGAGCCCCCACTCATTTACTTCCATGCTGATACTTTCTCACATTTTATTTGCCTTAAGATAATGAGAAACCTATGCACGTGGTAGATGATGAAGACTTGATAGACCAGTATCTCATCAGTGAGCTACGGAAAGAGTACGGAATGACCTACAATGACTTTTTCATGGTGCTGACAGACATTGATCTGAGAGTCAAGGTACAGGTTCTTGTGATGGATGATGCAATGCAATCCCTTAGAATAGCAACTATGAATTTTGTTTTTGTCAATGAGTCCATTAGATGTACGAGTGAGCACAAGTTACGTTATGAATGGGAAGAGTTTTGAAATGGCCCAAAAAGTTCAAATTGTCTTATGGATTTGCATTTAGAACTGTTCTCTCCAGAAAAAAAAAATGGCTTGGACTGACCTGCAATGGCCCAGCTATTTTAGTCAGATTAAATTCTTCTCTAAAAGCAATGTTGTGCATTCATCAGACAATTGTTGAATAGCCATGGTGTTCCAAGCCCTGGGGATAAAAGGTGAAAATGGTTTCTGTCTTCAAGAAACCCGTATTTAACAGAGGTTTTTTTGTTTTTGTTTGTTTGTTTGTGTTTTTTTTGGAAGGATCTGGAAGTTTACCTTCTGAGCCAAAATGGACAAGACTGTAGTATTTCACATCTATTTTCTTCCTGTGCTTAACGACATAGTTTCTGAACCATGAAAATCTATGATACATAGACATATGAATAACAAAAACGGCTAACTTCATCAAGCATTTTCCCCAACACTTTGAGATCCTTGTCTCACACTTCCAAGATAAACAATAGCATTATTTTTGTTTCACAAGTCCAGAATGGATAAGTAACTTGCCCAAGATTACCCAGTTAATGCTGGACTTCATAACCATTTAGGCTGGCTCCAGAGTCTGCTATAATTTCAGTATATTAACATTACACATGCTTACATAAGAATCTTTAGGGGGAAAAAAAGGCTTTCTGGGTCGTCAGACTACCTGACTTAAATTGTGGATGGATTTTTCGGGATCTGGGGAGAGATTGCTTTATTAATTCTTTCCACACATGTGTTACCCTATCGCTAATGTGACACATTGGACTACCTGATCTCTAACATGAATTTCCACTGGGCATACCACTCCAAGCCACATCCAGACTGTTTTCTAACATATGCTGATTATGTTCATCAAGCCCCCAACTCTGTCTCAGGTTGCTTTTGTAAGCCCAGGCAACTATGACTCAGGAAACTGTCATTATCTATAAGTTAGAGCCCAATTTGTTTCTGAAAATATGTAAGCAAACATGATATTAAGTGCTGCCCACTCAATGAAATAATCTTTGCATCTAGAGAACAGGCCTTGGTGTAAAATTACTATAACATGCCATTTCATTTGGTTTCCTGTGTGGAATATGACATTTTTCTCCTTTTGATGGTGAATAGGAATCAGCTTAGTGTTGGAAGTAGGGAAGTGAACCTAGGATCCGTATGATGAGGAAAGTATGGACTTTTCCAATAAAAAAAAATGCAGTTAAGAATTCTTTGTTAACAGCATTAGTTGTTTCATGGATTCTGAACCTGAAAACATCGGCAGAGAGTACTATTTCAGGAGAGCATTTGTAAGTCAGTGAGCCCACCAGACTGTGTTTTAAAATACTTCCCCAGATGTCCCCTGAATTCTCCGAACAGAGAGAAGAAATGTACTTACATAACATATGTTTCTATGCTTTCTTAAACAGCAATACTATGAGGTGCCAATTGCAATGAAGTCTGTGTTTGATCTGATTGATACATTCCAGTCCAGAATCAAAGATATGGAGAGGCAGAAAAAGGAGGGCATTGTATGCAAAGAAGACAAGAAGCAGTCGCTGGAGAACTTCCTATCCAGGTACATCACCTTTCCAGTCTTGAAAGAGGCAAGCCCAAGTTTGTCAGAGTGAGCTAATGAAAATGCCAAAGAGACAGAGAACCAGAGAAGGAACCTGCCTGGAGAAAAGCTTGTCAGTTTCTGGGCACTCTGGCCACAGGCTTGTCTTGTTCTGTCGGAAGTGACTGCTTGCAAGGCTAACTGAGTTCAGCTTCAGGAGTAAATGTGGACTTGGTGGTTTTGGATAGATCTTTTTGCTCCTTTCTGCTCCTTTTTTGGTACAGATGATAGAATTTTGAACTTCTTGAGGACTGATTCATTCAGTCGGTGAATTTAGAATGTTCTGGATACAACAATTTTGTTTCAAATATTTATTTATTAGACTCCTAGTTCCAAACAGGATTTGGCATACTGTGCTTGATTTTCTGCTTCCCTGAAACTGTGCAGAAAACAACAAAAGCCCCACTGTGTCTTCAGAAGGAGAAACCCTCTTAACTCAGCTCCCTAATTCTCTGGGGAGTTTCGTTTATTGAAAGCCATTTCACAGCAACATAAGTCCAGTGGGGGGAGGAGTGAACCCAAACAACATTGCATAAAAAAAATATCCAATTTTCTCCCTTCTACTTTTCTTCTCTGATGTTAAAAAAAAAAATTCTACAGGGGCTTTGGGGCCTTAGGAAGTGCAAAATTGTAAAGAAACCCACAAAATAAACACCACCCCAACTGTACTTATTGCATGGCTGAGGTGCACCAGAATTGGAGCATTTGCCTGGAGGCTCCAAGTTAAATGTGTATCGCTTAGGCTGAATCTTTACTCATGTCTGTGAAAGCACATTCTCTACATGTGAGTCAGTGTATCAAGAACTGCATAGTTAGTAAGTGGATAATCTGAATCCTTCCAGATTCAGAAGGCTTGAGTCTCTTAGGACATAACATTATGGTGTCTAATGAACAGAGAACTTACTATCCTTTGAGTTTGGGGTCTACAACTTACTAGCTGTGTTGGCTCTACACTTCTCAATTAACTTGCCTTAAATGTCTCTCAGCCATAAGATGAAGAGAATGGCAGGAGGTGTCTCTTCTTCCAGCCCAGTCATGCTGCAATCTCTTTCTGTGTGCTCATCTCTGTGCTGAGCATTTCCCCTTCATTCACTTAGTGTAATCCTCTGCACAACCCTGTAATCTGAATACTTAACTATAGGGGTGTTGCAGGAGACAACTGAGGCTAACGGGAATTAAGCAGCTTTCTCTCATCACTAGGCTAGTGTTGGTTCCAGAAGACAATGGCCTAACTGACTTCCAAGTCCACCATCTTATCTTATGCTCCTTTTGAAAATAAAATATGAATTATTTTTAGTTCTGGACCCAGAGGCCTAGAGTTTGAAGTAAAAAAAGACACTTCAAAAATTACAGGATTTCAGAACCAAAAGGAAACTGAAACTCTGTCTTCATCCAGAGTCTCCATGCACTGCAAGTATCCAAAGCAGAAATAGAAGATGGTCTTAAGGACTTAAATCCAACTAGGCCTTCAGGCCACTCAGCCAAGAAAAGGGTCTGGATTCCACCAAGAAAATGACTCTAACTATTCCCATGGACACTAAAACACCGACTTATTTTTGTTGTTATTTTGTTTGTTTTATGCAGTACTTAGGACTGAACACAAGGCCTTCACACTCAGCTACATTCCCCAGCCCTTTTCTATTTTGGGACAGAGTCTCACTAAGTTGCTAAATTCCCCAGGCTGTGCTCAAACTTGCAGTCCTCTTGCCTCAGCTTCCCAGGATGCTGGGATTAGAGGTGTGCACCACCACAATTAGCTTTAGAACACCAACTTCTGATCCAAGGGCATTCCTCTGGATGAAAATGACACAGAAGACTGATAAGAGTTTTTCATTTCCCTTGAGATATATGTTAATTATTTTTTAAGGTAGAAAAAATTCTTTAGAAGTTTGTTTTTGATTCTAACAGTTAGTGTTAAATATATTCAAGTCATAAATTTAAGACTTCTCTCTTCAACTTTTAAATAAGGTTTATGGATTTTACTTTTCTATTTATAACTTAGCATATATTAGCTACCACTTTTAAGAGAGCTTTGAAGAATTTTTTGATCTTGCTTACAAACTGTTGAGCAAATCATTTCACATAATCATTATATGTTTAATATACTTTTTTCAGTTATTTGAAACAATCAAAACCTGAGTACTTAAATGATCTCTAAGTTTAATAAACTAATATTATAAATAGATTTAATGTAAAGTTCTCTCAGGTGTTTCAAAAAACTGCATGCACTTAATAATACTGCAATTTAAACCATATTTTTAAGCCAATTACTCAGCTACACATTCTGATTTGGAATTTGAAAGTTGTTATTTTATTAGGCCAAATTCAAGTATCATAAAAATATAAATTGTTCTTTTCATTTATTAAGTTTATTGGGATATTTTAGATATACATAATGATCACATTCATCATAGGGAATTTGTACCTGTACATAATATATCTTGATTCTTTTTTTCCCCATTCCCTTACCCTCCTTTCAACCCCTCTTCCCTAGTTTACATAAGTTTTGTTTCCATTTTTGCCCCTTCTTTTCTCCTTTAATTTCTTTTCCTTTTCTTTTATTTATTTATTTATTTATATTCCCCATTAACTCTATTGGTACATTGTAGGTATAAAATACAGTTACATTCATCATTGGGATCTTGTACTATT